CCCACGGGCTCCTGGCTGTGTCCCCTGAGCTCCTGGCTGTGTCCCCTGGGCTCCTGGCTGTGTCCCCTGAGCTCCTGGCTGTGTCCCCTGGGCTCCTGGCTGTGCCCCACGGGCTCCTGGCTGTGCCCCACGGGCTCCTGGCTGTGCCCCACGGGCTCCTGGCTGTGCCTGGGCGTGGGGAAGGTCACCCCCACGTCCCTGGTGTTCCTCCTGGTGCCGCTGCTGAAAATCTCCAGGTCTCCTGGAAGGGAAAGAGAGCGGGGACCCCTCACTCCCGTGTGCAGGGAACGGCCCCGTTCCAGCTCAGAGGGAAGAACCTGTAAAAAGCTGTTTACTTTTACTTTTAAAAGCCAAGAACCTGTGCTTCACCCACCTCCAGCAGTCAAAGCCTTCTCCATCCCCACCTCCCCAAACCAAGGAGTTTCCAGTGGCTCGGGATTGTGGCTGTGTGATAATCTGAGTGAAATTAAAACCAAATACCCCGAGCAAAACACACATTTGTCTGGGGGTGGGAATGAAACTAGAATTAACTCTGCCCTGTGAAAATGCTTCCCTGAATCAATCTGCTTGCACACAAGCAGGAATAAATAAATAATTGCTGTATCTGATGAATAAACCAAGGCCATTACTCAATGTGATGATGGGGAGTTGGTGTGGAAATGAAAGCAATGAAGAAACTGCTAATTGCCACCAGAAAAAAACCCAACTGCAGAACTGCACCAGGCCAGGAGCAGCTCAGGACTGAAATAGAACTGAACACCCAAAATATTCCCAGGAAGAACACGGAACACTGCAGTTGCCTTCTGAAATAGCATATGCCTACAAAACCCATTCTGGGAGGAACAGATGTCTTGGGGAAAAAAACAATAGATAAAAAAGGCAGCTCACCTTTGCCACTGAAATGGAGCAGGAGCTGAGGTTAATCAGTTTACAAGTGAGAATATTGGTTATTAAAGCAGCCCAAGAATGGCAACTGAGCAGCTGATGTTCACACTGCCCCTCTCTGACAGCACTGAAGGGAATTTGGAGAGTGCTGCCCGTGCAGGCCCATCACCAGAAACTCCCAGACTGTGGAGGAGGGGTTCCAAAGACAGGAAAGGCAGGAGGAGCTCAGGGAAGTCTGGGATTCAGGGCCTCACCTGCCTGGATCCCTTTGTTCAGCATCCGTGTCCGTCGCTTGTTTCTGAGGGCAGAGCTCGGTCCCCAGGAGCTGCTGCTGGCACAAGTGGAATCCGAGGAAAAGGGGATGGTGCTCTACAAAAACAGGCCAGAGAACAGAAATTCCTGAAATTCCAAACACAGTGAGCAGAAAACAGGATTTACACAGAAAAATGACACTGCTTTTCCCTTGTACCTATTGTAAAGTGCTGTCAGTGATGCTGAGCCCAGGCTGCTCTGTCCCACTGCTCTCACAAAAGCAGCCCTGGCAGCTCAGGCTGGTAGGAAAAACACCTGATTTCTGTGGGAAGAGCTTGCTGGGATCAGCCAGGACAGCACTGGGGCTGTCCTGCTGCAGGGAGAGCCCAGAGGGAGCAGGGACAGCAGCCAGGGAATGGTTCCCACTGCCAGAGGGCAGGGATGGATGGGATCCTGGGCAGGAATTGCCCCTGGGAATGTGGGGAGGCAAAATCCTCTCAAAGCAGGGAAGCTCCCTCAGCCTGTGATCCTCACCAGGCTCCTCCAGCTGGGAGAAATGAAACTCAGGAAATCCAAGAAACAGGAGGGCCATGGAAGGAGCATGGCTGAGGGACAAGGGGAGTCTCACACCAGGCCAGCTGTGGAAGCTGCAGGGCTGGGCACAGCTCGGAGATCACACCTGGATTTCAATCACTAAATCCACTGAAAAGCAGGAACCCTGTCCCAAGGCTTGGCTCTGTGAAACACGAGGGCTGGGGCTTCGTTAGCACCAGGACCTGGCAGTGCCCTGCAGAGCTGCCCTCCCCTGCTCACAGCAATTAGCAACCCCGAGTCAATTAACTGGGGGAAACCAACAGCAGCCACCAGAAAATGCAGAGGCTTCTTTATTCCCTTTTACTGGAGCTCTGTCACCCCAAACAAAACTTCACTTCTGTACTAAAAGGAGGCCATTCTGACTTTCCTAAACCAATTTCAACAAAACAAAACTTCATTTCTATACTAAAAGGAGGCAATTTCTATACTAAAAGGAGCCAATTTTGACTCTCCTAACCCAACAAAACTTCACTTCTGTACTAAAAGGAGCTAATTCTGACTCTCCTAACCCAACTTCAATAAAACAAAACTTCACTTCTGTACTAAAAGGAGCCAATTTTGACTCTCCTAAACCAACTTCAATAAAACAAAACTTCACTTCTGTACTAAAAGGAGCCAATTTTGACTCTCCTAAACCAACAAAACTTCACTTCTGTACTAAAAGGAGGCAATTCTGACTCTCCTAACCCAACTTCAATAAAACAAAACTTCACTTCTGTACTAAAAGGAGGCAGTTTTGACTCTCCCAAACCTGTTTCTGATTTCCTGTAGCTATCCCAGCTCCAGGAGAGGCACTGCACAGATGCACTGATACGGATTTTCTTTCAGATAACAGAACATGTGAACGTTTGAATTGTGAACGTGTGAATTGGAATTATGTGCTCGGCGAGAAATGTGTAAAAGCAGGGAGGAAAACCCCAAAATATCCCGTTCCCCTGCCCGTGCAGCACGGAGCAGCCAGGAACATTCGGGATGGGATGGGAACTCTCCCTGCTCTCCAGCCACAGCTCCTGGAGGGGACCTGGGGCAGGAAAACCTCCCGGCATGGCTCTGGGAGCTGTAAATACAGAAAGAGTTTGCTGGAAGCAGAGCTGACAATGGGCTCCAAACGCAGCATTCCCACAAGGATTGGGGCAGGAATCTCTCTGGGATACCAAAAATACCAAAATGTGAAAGAAGTAATTCAATATTCCTCACTTGTTCTGTACTTTTCAGCATTCCTGTGTATTACAGAACCCCCAAACTTTGTAATTCTACTAAAATCACCAGATCTGCCTCGGAACCACAGACATCTGCACTAAAAATACAAATCAATCTTGACTCTTCCTCAGCTAAACAGCCCAGAAGTGACCAAAATTGGAATTTTAAATTAAATTTATTATTTTAACATCTATTTTCTCGCACTTCTTATTTGAGGGGGTTCATGTGTGTGTTCAGATGGATTTTTTAAAAGAATATTTCACCAGCAGATAAAAAATGTGAGTTTCTAAAGCCATGGGGGTTCAAAGAGCCTTTAAAGGGTTTATTCCCCATAGCACTAATTCCATTTGTCACCTCACAGGTGATTTAACAGGTAAAAAAATCAGATTTGGGTTTAATAGACCCAAGTAACTTAAGGCTGAATAGAACCTGAAAAATTCATCTTGTGAACGGAACGTGGAATAAAATAAACTAGATTCTGCCAGAAATGCTGGATCCTAATGCTGGTGTTCTGGTTAATAGTCTTAGTATGGCAAAGTTCAGGACAGCTTTTTTTTACCTTTAAATAAATGCTACAAATAAAAATATTAAATAAAAGATTTTTCAACCATTCTTCACCTTTAAGAAAATTCTTTCTCCCCCAGATTTATTTAGTTATTTGCATTATTTTTCATTGTTTCATAATTCACTGGCTTATTTGACCAACTGACTTGGAGTTGTTTCCATAAAATAAAATAGTTAATTTCAATTAAATCTGGTAGTAATGATGCCAGTTCCACTTTCATCTAGAAATACCAAAACGTGAAAGAAGTAATTCAATATTCCTCACTTGTTCTGTACTTTTCAGCATTCCTGTGTATTACAGAACCCCCAAACTTTGTAATTCTACTAAAATCACCAAATCCAGGCTGAGTCCCTCCTTAACAACATTTCCATTTCTCCTGCAAAGGGCAACAGCCAAACTCACCTGAAGGAATTATTCCCTCCCCTTTCAGAGAGCTGCAGTTCTTACCTGCAATCCTCAGCTCTTTAAAGAGAAAATGTTCACAGCCAGACAAAACAACCCCACTATTTACAAGACAAGCAGTAGGGAAACTCCAATAATTGTATGGATCCTTGCCCAGGGATATTCAGGCAGGAATTTACACCAGAGTTACAACCTCGAGTTGGGCAGTGCCAAAGCCAGAGCCTGCAGGGATCTGGGAGGAGCAGGATTTGCTTCCCAAGGGAAACTGAGGCCAGGGAAGAAAGCCCAGGTGTGTCCAGGTGTGTCCAGGTGGGGCCAGGGGGTGTCCAGGTGATGCCCAGGCGATGCCCAGGGGGTGTCCAGGGGGTGTCCAGGTGATGCCCAGGGGGTGCCCAGGTGATGCCCAGGGGGTGCCCAGGTGATGCCCAGGTGATGCCCAGGGGGTGCCCAGGGGGTGCCCAGGTGATGCCCAGGGGGTGCCCAGGGGGTGCCCAGGTGATGCCCAGGGGGTGCCCAGGGGGTGCCCAGGTGATGCCCAGGTGATGCCCTGCCCTCCTGAGCTGCTGCCCCGGCTCCTGCAGGGCCAGCCTTGGTCCCAGGAACATGGAACTCCCCTAGAAACCATTCGGTGCCTCCCAGCTAAGGGAGCCCGTCCAGCAGTGGGAATTCCCTGGGGAGCATTCCGAGCTGGGCTCAGGGAGCTCTCACCTGGCTCTGCTGCCCCTTCCCGAGGCTCTCAGCCCCTGCTCCTTCGCTCTCCTCATCCCAGCGCTCCGAGCGGCTCTTCTGCTGGCTGATGGCACAGTACAGCTGGGCCAGCCTCGGGGGCAGCTCTGGGGGCTCCTAACCCGCCAGCTGTGGGGCCAGCTGTGAGCCCAGCTGTGGGGCCAGCTGTGGGGCAGGCTGTGAGCCCAGCTGTGAGCCCAGCTGTGAGCCCAGCCCCAGCCTGTGCTGCCCAAAGGCCCGGAGCAGCCTGGCCGTGTCGATGGTGGCCAGGGACAGGGAGCTGCTGTCCCCAGAGGCCGGGGAGGTGTCCAGCCCCGCCGGGGTCCCCGTGTCCCACCCCGAGGTGCTGCAGCTGCTGCAGCCGCCGGGCTCTGCGCTCAGCCTGGCCTCCGAGGAGCTGTCACTCGCAATTCCCAGCTGCTGCTGCTGCTCCAGAATCCTCTTCAGGTGCTGGATCACCTTCTGCCCCGGCCTGTGTGCCCCGAGCTCCTCCTGGATCACCCGTGGCCTCCGTCCCGCTCGCGTTCCCCGGGGCTCCGTGCCGCTCCCAGACCTGCCTCCTCCTGCCAGCAGTATTTTCAGCCGCTCCCTTCCCTGCGGGCACCCCTCAGGAACCTTCTCCCCAGCTGCTGCCGGTGCCAGGGCGTGCCTGATGGGATTCTGCAGGAGCCTGGCCAGCCGCTCCAGGCGCTCCACGAGGGACAGCTCTCCGCTCTCCCCGAAATCCTGCTGCTGTCTGCTCTGGCGCTCCAGGAACGTCACCCACAGCTCCCCCAGGCTGCCCCTGGGGCGGCTCCTCTGCCGTGCTGCCTTCCCCCGGCTCTCAGCTGCTGGGCCGGGCGGTGCAGGATCCCTTCCAGCAGCGTCCGGCTGCGGCTCCATCCCGTTCCCAAAGGCTGCGCCGGGCTCCTCGCTCCCGCTGTCATCGGCCTCTGCGGGGAGAGCCGAGAGCTGCCGGCCCGTCCCGGGGGGCGCACGGGGACCCTGCCGCCGTGACCCGGCCGGGACAGCCCCCGAGGAGGGGACAGCGTGTCCTGCTCCAGCAGAGACCCCGCACAAGTGCCGGGGAGCCGGGCAGCAGCTGCCGCTCGCGGGGTCAGGGGCACAGCCGGAGGGTTTTACACGCCCGGAGCCATCTGGGAGCTCTGCAAGAGAACAAAACACTTGAATGTTTCATTTCTCAGCTTCAAGTGGAGGATTTTCATCCTAAAACTTCCAAAACACGTCAGAGGATTAAAAGCGGGATCACTGAGCTCATTCCCAAATGCAGTGAACTTGGAAATGCACTTTGAGCACCATTAACGTCACATAAACAGCATTTTCTACCATTTGCAACATGGAATTCAAGAGAATGTTATATCCAAGTGAATCTGGGGAGGAATTTGACTCCACCTCAGGGAACTGCCCTGACCAACACTGAACTGAGCCTTTCTTGAGAGTGATGGAAGAGACCCCAAAGCCCCTCCGGGTCCCCTGGCCCCACCCAGGAATGGGGATGCTCTGGTCATCCCTGAAGCACACACAGCACGTGCCAGTAACACCCTCCAAAACAGCTTTAAAGTAGTTTTCAATATCATGTAAAACTGAGTTTTGAAGTGTGTTTTGTGCTGTTTTTTCATACAGGGCTGGGCCATCGGATCTCCTCCCTCCCCAGCACAGGGGCTCTGCTGGACACAGAGCTCACGGATGCTGCAGCCAGCCCCAGCCTCACCAACTCTGCAAGTGCAGGAATTTTTCTTCCCTTACAAGGGCAATGTTTATAAACTTGTGTAAGAGGCTTCCTCCACATCCTCCTGACAAATGAGATCAGGCTTGGGAATGCCAGGCAGAACTTTGCTATTCCTGGCTTTTTAGAAAGTTACCAAGAAATGGAAGGAATGTAAACAGGCAAAAAATAAAAATAAGTTTGTACAGAGAAACTTTTTTTTTTAAAAAATACATAACTTGCATAATTTTAAGCTCTAGACAAGCTCTGTGGGTAGAGGTAATCTTTTATTAGATCATCTAAAAATATGGTTGAAGAAGTCAGGGAAGATTTAAGACAAGTCTTTCTTCTGAAAGCATCTTTAAAGTTCCAGCTGCACTGGCTGCCTTCACAAAAGAGTCTTTCTCCTTACAGTTCTTTTCTTACCTGGGCCTTTAGACCACCACAGCTATAAAAAACTGTTAGAAGATAATTTTATATTAACACTTTTGTTCCCCTCTCATTTTTATCCCAGTTACTGATAGCCTTACATAATAACCATTGAAATTTTCCTCTGCAAATAAAAATTGTCTTCTGGCAACACCAAAATCTCTCCATTCTGAGAGGAAAAACTCCAAAGATAAAAACCCCACCTGAAGGAAAAAATGAAAATAATCAGATGGAACCTCTATCAACACACCAGGACAACTTCCTGACAGGAAACATCAGGAGAGCAGCTGCTGCAGGACAGATGGCAGCCACCCAGGAATTGTCACAGTGTCCAGGGATGAAAACCTGGCAATCAGCCACTCACAGTCAGTATTTGTGCTGAACAAACCTGTCCACAAGGATTCATGTCACCTGCCGCCACCAGAGCCAGAGTCAAACCCCAAAATCAGCTGGACTTTGGCAGCATCCTCAGCAAACGGAGCTCGGGGTGGCCCCTGGAGGAGCAAACCCCGACCCCCCTGCCAGGGCAGGCTCCTCCAGCAAGGCCAGCTTGGCAGGGACAGGGACAGCAAAACCACAGCCAAAGGCTGGGGACAGCCAGGGGACAGAGGAACCTGATGTGACATCACAGGGCCGTGGGCAGGGACAGCCCCAGGGAATTCCTGACAATCCCACACAGCCCTGGAGACACAGGAGTGCCAGCAAATACTGATGGCCAAGTATTCCATGGAATTATGGAATAGTTTGGGTTGGAGATACCTTAAATCCCATCCAGTGGCCCCCCTGCCACTGCCCCAGGCTGCTCCCAGCCCTGTGCAGCCTGGCCTGGGACACTGCCAGGGCCCACAGCCTCCCAGGGAAAGCTGCATTTTATCTCTCAGGGAGAAGCAGAAAGACCAGGAAGAGAAAAACGAGTCAAATTTAGCATTTTCTGGCAGACTGTCAGCAATGTCACTGAACCACGGATCCTGAAATGTCAATCTTCTCCTCTGACTTCTTTCACGTGTACGAACGCACACAAACAATTACAGAATTAAAGCCACGTTCCAATTACCTGAAGACTGTTCCAGTGGTGTCCCCTGCTCCTCAGCCCAGGCCAGCTTAGCCCTGTGGCCATGGCTTGTCCCTCTGTGCTGGGCAGCTGCCCTGGCTGGAGGGGAATCGTCCCCCAGGGCCAGCACTCGGGCCAGGAGCACTGCAGCCGCATCCTCGGACCCTGCAAGAGAGCAGCACCAGTGCAGTGGGAAACAGGGAAACAGGGAAATGCCAGCCTCAGCCAGCAGCCAGCAGCCCTGGCAGTGTCCCAGGCCAGGATGGACAGGGCTGGAGCAGCCTGGCACCGTGGCAGGTGTCCCTGCCATGGCAGGGCTGGGCTGGGCTGGGATTTAAGGTCCTTCCAAGCAAAGCATTCCATCACTCCATGATCTCAACATCAGAAACCCACAACTGTCCCCACCAATTTCTCAACCCTGCCAACCCCACCTCGTTACATCCCATGGATTTCCTGCTCTCAGCTCCCTCAGCTGCTCCCCCTGAGCTGAGCCCCGAGTGCAGCAGGGACTGGGAAAAACAAAATGTGTTTTTTCATCCTGCTGTACGCTTTCCTAGCACTTTGTGCTGCTTCATTTGCATAGTGAATTTTTATATATGGCATCATCATTTCTGCAAAACAACAGATTTGTATCACATTTGTTCCTCTCATTTTGGACACGTTTCCTCAGATAAACTTGAAAAAGGTCAAGAGCAGGGACATCTGAAGCATGCCCAGCACAGTTTGTGGCTGTAGTGACTGATCTGGACACTTCTGGCAGTGTTGGATCCCCTGGGCACCACTGCTGGAATCCAGAGCTGGGCATCTCTAACACGAGTTTTGTCTATAGATAACTTTGGATATTAAAAAGCTCCGAGTGAGATCAACCTGCAAATAAAACCTGCAATGCCCAGTGATCCATTCCTTCCAGGGCAAGTGGCAGAGATCTGAAAGGGTGAGCAGTAATTCCCAGAGGAAAGTAAGGGATTGTCAGGTTGTAGTGCTCCTTTCCAGTGCCAGAATGGAGCAGGAACCCCCTTTCCAGCCCGGAGATGGAGGGCAGAGCTGCAGAGGAATTGTGTTTGTGGGGTCACAGCTGATTCAGGGCACCCTGTTGAGCCCTGGAGGAGGAGGATGCAGTACCTGAGTGGGAGCTGTTTCCGCTGGCCTCGCTGGTCTCTGGGGACACGCTGGCTCCTGATCTCTGGCAGGGCACATAATACATGCCAGCACTTCCCAAGGGCTTGTAGGGCAGCAGCAAGGGCTGGGCTGGGGGTGGAAGGGAAACAGTGAGCAGGAGCCGGGCTGGAAACCTCCAGTGCAACAAGGCAGGGCCTGGGGAGGCTGCTCGGGGTGTTCCTGCTGCTAAAGCCTGAGAAATACCCCCTTCTTTAGCAAATTGCAACTACTATTTCATTAATTAAGTTAAATAACTGAGTTTTTTAATACCCACCCGAAGGTAGAAGGTTTCCATCACTTACCTGGGAAAACAGCTTCACCTATTGAGTATTAAAATTGTGATCAGGGTGGCAAACACTGACTTAGAGAAACATCCCCTGGATCCACAGAGCTCCCAGTTTGAGGGAATCATTTTAAAGGAGTGGGGATATGTCCCTCAAGTCAATAAAAGCAGCAAGAGAGCCCCAGTACAGAACACCACTGTATTCACCACTGTGAACATCCACGGCCTTCTGCTGACAGATACCCCAAACCCTGCCCAGTTTTCTGTTTAATTCTATTAAAAGCAGCAATGTGCAGATTTCCCTCTGATTTTTTTGGTGCTACCTTGATTAGAGAGTAATCAGGAATCAGATCCACCTCTCACTGAACTCCAAGTGAATCAAATCCAATCATCTACACACAAACACCAGAAAATATTCTCCAACCACGCTTGGACACAATGAATTCAGTTCTAGGGAAACCTGAAGTGAACCCAAACTGTATCCACACAAATCCCTCCCGACAAGGCTGAAAAACCCAAGTTTAAGGGTTGGGTTTGGGTTTCAACATTTATCAGCATCTTAACCTTGTACAGATTCCAGTCCACAGACACAGGTAAAACAGGAGTTTGCTCACCAGGCTGCCTTGGGAAGGGAGGAATCTCCCTGTGGGATGAGGCTGGAACGCCGGGAGCTTCAGGGGCTCTGGGGAGCGACGAGTGCTGGGCAGCATTTCCCCCCTGCCAGGCATCAAGGCAGATTTCTGCTGAGAAGCTGGTCTTTGTAGGACTTTCTGTGGTGATCTGAGTGGCAGCATCAGAAGTCCTTCTCCCAGGTTTTGCAGGAGGGGCAGAGCTGGGGATCCCCTCTGCACCCCGAGCCCCTGAGCCCCGGAGCAGCAGCAGCAGCTCCTGCCTGGGGGGAAACGCCTGGCTGGGATCTGCCACTGGCACAGCTGGGCTGGGATCCTCTGGAATACCCTCAGCAGGTGAGAATTTAGGAACACTTTCCACCGAAGCTTCTGGAGCTGCTTTTAAAGTCGCTGCCTGAGCCTTCACTTGGGGTTTGTCCCACAGCCCCATCCCAGCTCCAGCGGTCCCGGCGCCGCGCAGCTCGGAGCGATCGGCCCTGGAGGAGAGGGTGATGTGCACACAACTCAGGAATCTCCTCACTGCTGATGAGGGAGCCTCAGATGTGCTGGATAAAGCCTCCTCTGCAGGTAAAGGGTGAGAAGAAGCCTGTTCTGGAACGAGAGCTGCCTCAGCGGGGCTTTTCCTGCCCTCTGCCAACACCTCACTGGGGCTCTTCTCCAAACCCCCCTGTGCAGCTGCACCTGAGCCCTTCTCCAAACCCCCCTGTGCAGCTGCACCTGAGCCCTTCTCCAAACCCCCCTGTGCAGCTGGACCCGAGCCCTTGGAGCTGTCACAGAGCTGGGTGTGCCCAGCTGGGATCTCCTGCTGCTGGGGTGAGCTGACAGAGCGGGGTTCAAGCACTGCATTTATTTCCTGTGCCGTGCCGCAGCGCAGCCCCGCAGCCCCGGTGCTCTGTCCGTGCCCCCCAGCCACAGCTGCAGCCGGGATTTGGGGCTGCTGTGCACCCAGGCTCTGTGTTTGCCCAGTGTGGATGCTCCCAGGCCCCCAGGCTGTTCCCTGAGGAGCTCCAGCACTGGCAGCGGGGACGGGAGGAAGCTCTGCAGCATCTCCAGCCTCCCGGGAGCGGGCCAGCGTGGGGCTGGGGGGACAGCTCTGGATCCTCTCCCAGGGCTCTGTGGCCAGCCTCTCCTCCCCAGGGCGAGCACAGGGAGCCTCCCCCGGCAGGATCCCGTCCCTGGCCAGGCTGGGGCTGCGTGCCCGGGACCCCAGCGGGGCCGGCGCCCGTCTCCACGAGCAGAGGGTGACGGAGGAGCTCGGCTCGCCCGGCTGCCCGCGGGCACGGGGGGCAGCTGCACCGCTCCCTGCACAGGGATCCCCTGCCAGGGGGGCACAGAGCTCTGCCACGGCACTGCAGTGCTCCATGGCTCGGTGCTGCTCACACACTCGCAGCTCAGCAGTGCTCTGGGGCTCCAGCTGCATGTCCTGCAGCCCAGCAGTGCTCTGGGGCTTCAGCTGCATGTCCTGCATGTCCTGCAGCTCAGCAGTGCTCCTGGGCTTCAGCTGCATGTCCTGCATGTTCTGCAAGCCAGCAGTGCTACGGGGCTTCAGCTGCATGTCCTGCAGCCCAGCAGTGCTCTGGGGCTTCAGCTGCATGTCCTGCATGTCCTGCAGCTCAGCAGTGCTCCTGGGCTTCAGCTGCATGTCCTGCATGTTCTGCAAGCCAGCAGTGCTACGGGGCTTCAGCTGCATGTCCTGCAGCCCAGCAGTGCTCTGGGGCTTCAGCTGCATGTCCTGCATGTCCTGCAGCTCAGCAGTGCTCCTGGGCTTCAGCTGCATGTCCTGCATGTTCTGCAAGCCAGCAGTGCTACGGGGCTTCAGCTGCATGTCCTGCAGCCCAGAAGAATTCCAGGGCTTCAGCTGCATGTCCTGCAGCCCATCTGTTCTCCGAGTCTCCAGCTGCATGTCCTGCAGCCCAGCAGGACCCCACAGGTTGAGCTGCACGTCCTGCAGCAGGGAGCAATCCCAGGGATCAGCTCTAGGGACTGGCACTGCTGGTGGGGAGCCGGACTGGAAGAGCTGTCTGTCTGTCTGTCTGTGCCTGTCCCTGGGAAACCTGGGAGCCTGGAAACGCTCCTGGTCCTGTTCCTGCTTCCTCAGATACTCAGAACCTGCTCCCAAACCACAGAGCCACGGATCCTGAAAAACAGAGCACAGTTCCCAGAGGTCATTCCTGGCCAAAAGCTGGATGGGAAAAGCCAAAGCTGAGAGCTGTCACTAACCAGGAGTTTATTATCATCAGGAAGGGAGGGAACTCAGCTCTTAACGACCTAATTAGAACTTTATCCTTTCTAAGTGCCAAGTGACCATGCCCAGCTCTGCTGACCCCAATCCACGGGAGGTGCTGCCCTGGAGGACACCAAGAGCTGAGATCTCACCTGGGTCTGCACTGATGGAACACAGAGCTGCTCCCACCCCGACAGAACCCCACAGCAGCCTGCACAGCCCGTGCCAGGGAGCAGCACCTCTGCCACCGCTGCCGTGGGGCACTGGCAAGGGACAGGACAGGGACAATTCCATGGGGAGCCAGCCCTCCCAGCCCGTGTCCGGGGTTCAGGCAGCACCCTCCTGGGCACAGAACCTCTGGAATGGCCTCAGGTTGAACCAGAGGACGGTTAGATGGGATCCTGGGAACAATTTCTCCCTGGAAAGGGTTACCAGGCATTGGAACAGGGAGCTGGTGATGTCACCGTCCCTGGAATTGCTTAAAAAACGTGTGGATGAGGCATCTGAGGATACTTCAGTGCTGAACATGGTGGTGCTGGTTGGTGGCTGGACTTGATGATCTCAGAGGTCTTTTCCATCCTGAATGATTCTGTGATTCCAACCGTCAACATAAATTTATAAATTCAAGTGTAATCCAAAATTCCACCACTTCCACTGAAGAGAGCAAATCTGAGATAAATGTGCTGCCATGGAGATGGGCCAGATAAGCTTAATTAGGGAAAAGAGACACAAAAATCTGGGTTATATTTACTTTTTCCTACTGACTGGGACAACTGTGGAAGCAGCAGAGTCTATTCCAGTAATGAAGCAACACGGGTCCCTGGGTGATTACATCCCCATCAACCACCGGGAATTTGGTGAGAAACAGCAGTGGGAAACATTTTTGGTGTAAACCAAACACACAAACAAGTATTTCACAACAGCTTTCCCAGCCTTTCTCCATCCCAGATGTCATGACAGCAGCAACTAGGGCCTGGATCATTATCCCACCTCTCTAAGGGGAAGTTTTATGCATTTAAGGCAACAAATCAGTTTCTTTGGCATTTCCTCCAGCCAGGAGGGAGAGCGAGGGCCTGTGGAAGAGCACAGGGACACGGAGCAGAGCTGTGCCAGCACAGGGATGATCCCAAGACTTCTCCTCCCTGCACCACGTGCCAGTTCAACGGCCTGAGGTAATCCAGAGCAACTCCCACCAGCGAGAGCAGGCACAGAAGTTGTGATAAACTCATCTTCCCAAGCCTTTCACATGTTTTATTGTGCCTGTTATGTGTCATCCTTCCAAAAAAGCTCCCTGTGCCATATGATCCACAGGAGCCTGCAGAGCAAAATTAGAGCTACAACTCCGTGAACTTCCTGGAGAAGTGAGAAAGCTCAAGGAGTGGAAAAGTACAGCAGGGAGGGGAGGAAAACACTGCACCAGGGGGAAAGGAGCTCACAGGAAAGGGAAGAGGGAGCATCTGGCAGCCTAAAATACAGGTGGGGGGATCAGGTTTTCAATTTCGGAGGAGAATCCTGAGGCTGAAGATGTTGGAATTGTATTTACATCCAACAGCAGCTCCAAACCTGCCATGGCAGGGACAGCTCCTGTTATCCCAGCTGGATCCCATCCCAATGTCCAACCTGGCCTTGGGCACTGCCAGGGATCCAGGGGCAGCCCCAGCAAATCTGGGAATTGCAGCCCAGGCAGGAATTCCTTGCCAAGATCCCAGCCCAATCTCCCCTTTCCCAGTGGAAGCCATTCCCTGGCTCCTGTCCCTGCAGCCCTTGGCCCCAGTCCCTCTCCAGCTCTCCTGCAAGGGGCTGAAGTTCTCCCCAGACCCTTTCCCTCTCCAGGTGAGCACCCCCAGCTCTCCCAGCCTGCTCAGGTTGAATATTCCAGGGGTTCTGAGCCTCTCCAGAGCCCTGGAGGCCACGTCTGCAGCCCCTCCTGGACCCTCTGCCAGCCCAAGGTGGGGCACCCCCAGGATTTCTCCTGCTGTGACAAACAGCTCCCAGAGACCCTCAACTGCCTCAAAAGATGGAAAATCTTCCCAAGAAAAACATCCCAGAGAATTTCCCCGAAGTGTCCTGCTCCTTTCTCTGCCCACAGACTTCACACACTCCCCGTGGCACACAAGAAAATGCCTCAGTGGCACCTGAACTCCTGGAGCTGTCACCTCTGGGGAGGAGAGGCAGAGTCTGAGCATTCCCAGAGAACATCCACCCCAACAGCCCCACACAGAGATCCCAAAGATCCCACTGGAGCAATTGTTTGCTGGAGCTGTAGGAACAGTTTGTCCTTCTCAGTCTGAAAAGCTTAGTACAGGAAAATATCTTTTCCTAATCTTTGTTGTGTTCTTTTTAAGTCCATGCACAGCACTTAGGCTCTAAACTTCCCCACTTATTGTACACAACAGCTCCCATTAAATTTACAGATTATTTTGCCTGGCTGTGTTTTTTTTTCAGTGCAGCAGTTTTGAACAATCTGTATTTTTCAGTGACAGTGTTTGGCTTGGAGGGAAAAAAACATTTATCTTAAGTACAATTTAAAAAACCCAGTCACCTTCACTCTGCAAATTCAAACCATTTTTTATCTCAAATTAAAAACATTGCAGTGCAAAAATATTTTTGAGATCAAAGCAGGAGGTGCTGTGGTTGAACAAAAGCAATTTCTTGGCAGCTTGGTTTGCAAAATTAAGGTGAATTTCTTCTCACTCTAAATGTGGATAAAACAATCCCCAGCTGACACTGAGTCACAGAAAGGTAAAATCCTTGGCTCCACACTGCACAGAGTTCATTTCAGGGACAAAGCTGTGACCAAGCAAGATCTAAAAGCTGGGGGGAAAAAAGCTTTGATGCCTCTGGTTTTGTATTTGTGTTTTGTTTCTCTCTTTTAAGAAATCTGAATTTTAAGAAATGTGAATTTCTAAAATATTAAATAATATTTAGGTAATTAATTTATAAATGATTATGAATAAAACAGTCCCTTTCTTTTCCCCCAGCTGCCCAGATTCCAGCAATCCAGGAATACCTGGGAAGTGTGGCCTGATGGGTTTTGGGAGCTGCTCCCAGCACTGCTTCCAGAGAAGCTCTAAACACAGAGTACTCCTAAAGCACTGACTGTCACTCCTGCTAATGCAGGGCTTTTAATTAAAACAAACAAACCAACCCCTGCTGCTTTTCCTGGGAGGCAGGCAGGCTGCATGAGCAAACAGGAAAAAAAAACAAGGGAAAAAATAAGAAGCTCTTCCTAAAGCTCAGGGCACTTCTCTGAAACACCAGTCCCTAAAAATCCTGCCATAACCACCCTGGGCAGCAGAGCAGGGCCAAAAATGGACATTTAAAGTGAAAACAAAGGTACCACACTCCTGCTCAGACAAATTCCAGCATTTTATACATGAGCTGGAAACACTCCAAAGAGATGCACAAACCATGGCAATTCCAGGGCAAGTTCTCCCAGACAATCAGAGCTGCAGAGCCTGAACCTCCTCAGCCCTGAGCCCTGATCCACCACCGACACTTCCACACCCCCCCAGACCCTTCCCAGGCTCTTGTGGAGAACATCCTGTGCCCACCACTCTGATTTCCCCCGGCATCCTCACCTGCAGGAATCCTGGAGCAGCCCCTTCCCTCTGAGCCAGCGCAGGGACAATTCCCTCCCTCCTGCCCCAGGAGCCTCTCAAGGCCAGCTCCACGTGGGCAGCACCCAGCAGACACTCCCAGTGCCCGAGGATGTTCCAGGGACACCCAACTCCTGCCACAGGCACAATCTGCACCTCCACAAATATTCTGTGGAAAGAATTCCTCCAGACAATCCAGAACCAGGAGCTCTGGGCACTTTCTCACAGCAACTCTCCCCCCACATCTCTTCCTTCACACCTTCCTCTGGGGCATCTGCAGCCGAGTGTCACCCCCACAGCCAAATCACCCCAAAATGCCTGGGAAAACCACAAAAAGAGCCATGAACACCCCAAGAGCAGGTGCAGCAGCATTTCCCCCAGCCTGAGCTGGTTTGTACCTTGGCTTGTGCAGATTCCCTGGTCTTTGGGAACAGCTCTGCCTTCATTCCCTCCATCCTGTGCTGGGTCTCTTCATCCCTGTCTGGCCCAGACTCCTGGGACTGGCTGGCCAGTTTCAGCTTCACCCAGGCTGCCAAAAACACAAACCACGAGAGGTTTCCTTTCCCATTTAGTGTATGAGAAGAGTTTTTAACTTAAATCAAAGCTGTGCATTTCCAGTTACCCCAGCTGAGAGAACAAGGACCACATCAAATTCCAGAGCTCCTGGAATGACCAGGAATAATATAATGTAAAATGGCTCCTTGAATCCAAGACTCTTTCCTGGTTCTGTCATCTTCATAGTTACAGACACAAGTCAGAGCTCACTCACACAATCCTTTCCCACATTCCTGACTTAATAATTGTGTGGACAAAGTAATTCTTTACAGTGATGTCAGGAAAATAAGGTTTTCAAACTGGAGAAGCCCAGTTCTACCACAGCACAGATTACAGGAGAGCGTCCCTCACCGGAGCCCTGTCCCATTAAGGCACAAATTAAATTAAAACACAAACAATCCCCTCGGAGGCAGGGAGCAGCCTCAGCTCTGCTCACAGCCACCTCCCATCACACCCTGATACAATCCCACAATTTGGGATGTGCCAAACCCACCCGAGCCACGTTCTCACCTCGGATTTTCCTCTCCTGCTCCTCGGCGTCCCTGAGGATCTGGTGGGCGGCGGTGCCCGGGGCTGCCGGCCCCAGGAGGCTCCGGACGCGGGCGGCCAGAGAGTCACCGCTGCTGTCCTGGAGAGCCCCCTGGAACGTGCCTGGCTGTGCCCTGGTGCTGCCCAGGAGGCTCCTGACACGGGCACCGAGCAAATCCCCACTGCTGCTGTCCTGGAGAGCCCCCTGGAACGTGCCTGGCTGTGCCCTGGTGCTGCCCAGGAGGCTCCTGACACGGGCACCAAGCGAATCCCCACTGCTGCTGTTCTCCAGAGCCCCCTGGAACGTGCCCGGCTGTGCCCTGGTGCTGCCCAGGAGGCTCCTGACACGGGCACCGAGCGAATCCCCACTGCTGCTGTCCTGGAGAGCCCCCTGGAACGTGCCTGGCTGTGCCCTGGTGCTGCCCAGGAGGCTCCTGACACGGGCACCAAGCGAATCCCCACTGCTGCTGTCCTGGAACGTGCCCGGCTGTGCCCCGGTGCTGCCCAGGAGGCTCCTGACACGGGCACCGAGCGAATCCCCACTGCTGCTGTCCTCGCTGCTGCTGCCCCGTGTCCCCTCCGCCCCTCCAGCCCGGCCCACAGAGCCCCGGGAGCCGCCCGGGAGAGCGGGGCCGGTGCCCGGGGGCTGCAGGGGAGGAGGGCCCGGCTGTGGGGCCGAGCTCAGGGCGCTGCTGGCTCCGCTCTGTGCCAGCCCCACCAGCACAGCCTGGCTCCTGGGCACAGCGCTGCACCCCTCTGGCTCTGCCCTGCCCGGCCTGGGCCGCTGGGCCGCTCCCCTCAGCCCTTCCCGGCGCTGCAGGCTGACAGCCGAGGGATCTCCCCGTCCCCGGTGGCAGCTGCCGGGATCCGGAGGGTGGAACCCCAGCCCCTCTCCCCGCACACCCCTCTGGGTGACGGGCTCAGCCCCCCGCGGCTCGGGGATCCGCTCCTTCCCCAGCCTGGGCTCCCCGGGATCGGGCTCCCTCCCAGGCAGTGCCGGGGGAGCCTCCCCGGTTTCCGTGCGGGCAGCTGAGGGGAAGGCAGGCCGGCCCCAGCCGGCAGCCAGATCCTCGGCCCGTGCCAGCAGCTCCCGCAGCTCCCGCAGGGCCCCGGAGCCCATCGGGGAATCTCCTTCCCACCCCTGGCTGCTCTCACTTCCCCCGCTGCAGCTCTGGGACCCTCTGTCTAATTCCACTCCATTCCCAGCTCCAGACAAAGCCCCAGCAGCCCATCCCTGCAGGCTCCAGGGCTCACGGCCAGCAAAGGGAACCCGAGCACTCGTCCCCCCATCCCCGGCACCGTCCCTGCCCGAGGAGCAGCTGGGCACGTCCTGCTCCGCTCCAGCAGATCCCGGGGAACCCTCTGCACCCCGGGCTGGGGACGTGGGGACAGCCAGCCCCGGCTGGGGACCCGGCACACTGCCCTGGCTCTCTGGGTGCTCCCCGGACAGCTCCCGGGGGGACAGCACCGCCTCAGAGCCCCCGGGAAGGGACACGCTCCCCGGGGATGCCGCCCTGCCAAAGCCGGCCTCTGACATCTGGAAGGCTGGCAGCAGAGTACCTGCAAAGGAACACAACACTCAGTCACCTGCAGGCTCCAGAAACATCCCTGCTGTGCTCCAGGCCACAGAAAGGGAGGGAAGGATTCAAGTACTGGAAAATATTTAAGGTGCTGTTCTTAGGATGAGACTTGGGCTAAGATTTCTGTAAGAATTGTCTCCTGAAAGAAATCTCAGGAGTATTTCACATAAATATCAAAGAAAATACAAAACTTATTGAGGAAATATGGAATATCCTGAGTTGGATGGGGTCATCCATCCGACCCCTGGCCCTGCAGAGTCCCACCCTGTGCAGCCCTGGGAGCAGTGTCCAGGCTCCTGGGGCTCTGGCAGAGTCGGGTGTTACGAAGCCACACCAGCTTGGGTGAGGATGATGATGGGTGGATGGACTTAAGAACAGATCTGGTCAGTTATAAAAATACACTGAACAAATCCCAGAATGCAAAAGGAACCAAGAATTATTCCTCTCCCAGGAAGGAGAAGTCCAGTCCCATTCCCTCAATCCCAAGATACCATTTCCATCTGAACTGTTTCCTTCTGAAGGACTCTTGGGAAAAGAGAAACGCAGGGAACAAAGCCAGCGTGCCCTGCAGTGCCCTGCAGTGCCCACAGCCCCGATCCCTCAGGTCTGAACACTCCCAATGCCCACATCTCCTGCTGGGGATGGGGAAGGTGGATCCCAGGACAGCCCCGAGGCGCAGGAGGGTGAGCTCTGTGTCCTGCCCGTACCCTGTGCCTGCGGGGGGACCCTGGCCAGGCAGCCCACAGGATCCTGCAGGCTCCTGAGCTCCGAGGGGGAGAACTCCAGCTCCCACAGGGGCCTCCGGGGCACGAAGGGCGCCAGGATGCTGCCAGGGGACTGCTCGATGCCCAGGTTCCGCAGGTAGATCTGGAAAACATGGAATAACCAGTGCTTAGGGAATGGATGGATCCTGGGCTGGCAGAGCTCTTTCACCCCGAGGCTGGGCACTGCAGGAGTGACAACTCTCTCAGCTTCAGCCTCACCTGCTGAAAATTCCATTTCCCAGCTGGAAGGAGAACACAAAGGTTTGGTTTAAAAACCTTCTCCCTCCCCAGGCTGCCCAGAAAACGCTGCCAGGCTCAGGAATTCAAGGCAGCAGCCGGGAATCTCCTCATTTTTTAGGACAGGTTTGTTCAAGCCTGCCAGGCAAATAGTCGGGAGGACTTTTGTCAGAGCTGGTTTACACACAGATATTATATGCAGGAAAAAAACTGCCATAATTTTCCTTGACTTCATCACCTGTAGAGCAAATTAATTTCAACTCATCCACACTATGTCCTAAACTAGCCAGGAAAATTAAATAAATTACCTTACACATCCCAGCCAACTCCATCTCCCACGATTTTGTTATAAACCTCCACATTAACAGCCAGGTAAGTGACCTGATCTCCTTTACCTTCCAGTGGTTTATGGGAGCAGAATTCCTCAGAACTAGGCTGGAGAATGTGTAATTATAGCCAGGAACAGAAGTCATCTCTCTGTCTCATGAATTTCATTTCAAACACCCTCCCTCCAATATTTATATTTGTTTCACCACGGGTTTGCAAAGACAACAGAGTGAAAAGAGCTTCCAGAGCACATTCCCAAAGACCTGATGATTATGGAGTCATCCTGTGAGAGGAGCAGCCTCTTACTCAGAGGATAATTTGTTTGTCAGTACCATAAATCTGCATCTCATTTGCTATTAATGCACAGTGCTCTCCATGGCCTGCAGCCCCCCAGACACCAGGAAATTGGGAACAGCCACACGGGATGGGAAGGGGGGAACGAAGAGGCTCTGAAGGTCCTTTATGAGGAACACATCAAGGATTCACAACTGAGGCCTCAGAAACTGGAACAACGTGAAAAAGCAGAATGAGAAAATCCCAGAAAAGGAGAAATTTCATTTCCAAGGAGCTGAGTTTGCCCCTCCTGCAGAGCTGGGGGTGGAGTTCAGCTCTCCTCACTCAGCACTGAGCCTGAGCCTCACCCTTGGATAATGAGAGCCTGATCTGAGAGAGCCCCCAACCCTCCCTTCCCTTTCCTGCTGCTCCCCTGACACCCCTGGGAAAGACAAGACACCTTTCCCACTCCCAGCCCTTTCCTGTCCACGTTAAATATTACCAGAAGTTATTTTTCCACCTCTGTTTAAGATAAGCTGAACCAGTATCATGGATGAAATTCACTGTAGCACAGCCCTGTGTAAAAACATTTGTTTTGCCTTGTAGTGAGTGATTAGATCCTCTCCTAAAAGAGGAGTGGGGGAAAATGGAAAAGTGAAAATGGAAGAACTGGAATGGAAAAGTGAAAAACAATGGAAAACTCTGAAAAAAAAAAAGTATAACTGAAAAAAAAATAGGTAACTCTGGGGAAAAGTGGGTAACTCTGGAAGCAGAGTTAAATTAGAACAGAACTTACCGGGATCCTTTCCTCAATATTAAACTCTTCTTTCTCAGGAGTCTGCAGCGCTGCTCCGGGGGGGATGGAGCTGTTCTCTCCTGCACTGGGGCAGGGCCTGGGCACCACCAGGGAGCCCAAACCACAGCCTGGGGCCCCCTGAGGCTCCCCAGAACCGACAGGAAAATCCAAATTCTCCAAGGAAACAGCTCCAAAGTTTTCCATGATATCGTGTCCAGTGGGAATATTCAGCTTGAGGGACCGATTTTCCTTTTCCTCACAATCCTTGTGCTTTGTAAGGAGCTGAGCAACGCCGCACACGAACACATCTGGGGCCGAGCTTCGCCTGGCGTCGCCGTGCCCAGCTCCAGCCCTCCGTGCCAGGGAGCCCATGGAGGAGCTCTGGGAGCATCCCACGGTGGGGCTGGGGTGTCCTGGAGGCTCCTCACTGCAGGCTGGGCTGGTTCTGACCGAGGTTCTGCTCTCACTGCAGGCTGGGCTGGTTCTGACTGAGGTTCTGCTCTCACTGCAGGCTGGGCTGGTTCTGACCGAGGTTCTGCTCTCACTGCAGGCTGGGCTGGCTCTGACTGAGGTTCTGCTCGCGCTTCAGCTCTCACTGCAGGCTGGGCTGGCTCTG